ACTCCCAAGAGTCGACTTGATGTGAAGGTGGTTAGGAAATATGTCTGTATTAAGTCACACAGGATTGCCCTGTCCCGTGTGGCTCAGTTGGTTGAAGCATCGTCCTGTACACCAGAGGTGGCAGGTTCGATTCACGGTCAGGGCACATGTCCGGGTTTCAGGTTCAATCCCCAGTCAGGGCACTTGCAAGAGGCAACTGATCAGTGTTTCTATCTCACATTCTCCTCCCCCCTCCTCTCTCTAAAAATCAATACAAAAATCAATAAAAATAAGAAATAATAAAGAAAAAAGGACACACAGGGTTCTATTGGTAATAGACTGCAGGGTTCAGATAGTTCACAGAACTGAAAACAAGAGAGACTTCAGATTTTATGCTTGTAATGGATGCCCCCTTGGCCACCTGGTGTTCCTTCTCCTCTGCCAAGGGGCATTTTTAAAAAATAACTCGGAGACACAGTCACTTGTCCTAATTAGGGCTCTCCTAATGTTATTGGTGGAAGTGGGGATCCCCTTTCCCACTGGGTGCTGGGGGTCGGGTCCTTACGACACCTCAAGAAAAAGAAGAATTTTCTGAGACTTGCGCGGGAGGATGAGTGATCCTTATCTCTGTGGAGTTACATCCCTGCGTTTCTCAGGTCCCGTTTCCTTAACCCAGTCCTGGAAGGTGTGCAGCTGGGGGTTCAGTGGAGCTAGAAGCAAAGCCAGTGACCAGTTTCCGGTCTGTATTGCAGCCGCATCTGGCACAGCATCAGACGAGTTGCAGTCCATTGTGTGTGGGGCCCACGTGGCTGTGGGTCAAGTGGGCAAATGCAGGAGTGTGAGGGCTTTGCAAGCCGGGAGTCGAGATGAGTGCGAGTGGGCAAGAGCGAGAGAGCTCCTTCGTGCAGGAGATTGAATATCCCCCGCTTGCAGTGCCAGTGACCTGTCCCCAGGTGTGACACAGGCAAGTACCTTCCCTGTGTCACGCAGACTTTATTGGACATGTGTCTGTTCTTTCCCTGTCCAGTCCCTTCCCCCAGCAGGGGACAGACCAACGTTTTCCTGGGCAGCATTAAACTGCAGCTTCCTGGCAAAGCTGTACAAACGCCGTGCCCGTGATGTCTGGCCTTCCCTTTGCTCCTTTCCAGTTATTCACAAGTAGGTTAAATTACAACAGCGTAACTAATATTTGCTTCCTTTCCAGGCTACGGGTCTCTCATTTATCTGCTCTAGCTGGCTTCAAGGCTTCTCAGCATTCTGAGCCCCCTTCCCCGGACGCTTTGCTTTGTTTGTGTCCCTGAAAAACTTGGTGCCTGAGGGGTCCCCTTCCTCGAGAGCAGCCTGGCGGTGCACCCTGGGACTGCCAACCTTGTAGTTAAAGTCCCTAGTTTGTCTTCTCAGAATTTGTCTTTTATGCTCTAGTTGGTTGGGTTTTGTTTTTTTTTTTAAGGGAAAGAAAACACTAAAGAAATAACTGAATTCTCAATTCTCAGTGGGCTGCCAGTAGCCATTGGTCTTTAGTGCAGTTTTCTTTGGCCAACACTAATGTTTCAAAAGACTTTATAATTGGGAAGTTTATGCTGAGTTACAATAGAAGCAGCCTAGCACCTGTTGTCTTCATTCATTCATTACCTGCCTGGCATGCTGGCCCCTAGTAGAGGCTTTGTTTTCTTCCTCTGTCTATAAAGGGTCATTGTGTGTATCTTGTTGTTGTAATCCTCAGCCGAGGATATTTTTTCCATTGATTTTTAGAGAGTGGAAGGAGGGGGGAAGGAGGGGAGAGAGAACATCAATGTAAAAGAGACATCGATTGGTTGCCTGCTGCACACATCCCAACTTGAGCCAGGGATCGAACCCGCAACCCAGGTACGTGACCAGGACTCGAACCCGAAACCCTTTGGTGCATGGGTCCACAGCCACACTGACCAGGGCTCATTGTGTGTATCTTAATTTAAAGTTTCTAACTTTTCAGTCTGATTTCTCACAACCACCGCTGCAAGAAACCTTCGTCCAACCGGGATAGGAAACAGCTCACCCCCACCCCCGAAATGCTTGCCTGTTTATTTATTGGCATTCACTTTAGTTTTGTGTGTTGACATGGTTGAATCATTTGAAATGGCCCTTTTTGTAGGTCAAAAATGGTTGAGTAGCCGCACTTTTATTCTCATTTGTGGTAAGATTTAAACACTTTAGATTTATAGAAATGTTATTAGAAGTATTTTATTGCCGTAGCATGGAAATGAAAGTAATTCCATTTGTGTCTGTTGGGGAAAGCCCCCAAAGTCTAAATTCAGGATCGATTCTGAAGCACTGACATGTAGCCTTGTTCAGATCCGTAAGAGCTTTGATAGGAGAAACATACACCCGGGCAAAGCAGCTGCTGCCAGTGGTGGTCGGTCAGGAAGAATCCACACCCTCCCGGGACACGGGCTCTCCTAGGGGTTCACAGTAAAAGCGTGTGGTGAGTAGTCACGCGGACCACCGGCGGGGACGGTGCATTTCTAGGTAACAGATAGCATCAGGCAGTTACCACACTTTGTGCAGTCATTAACCTCCTTCCTGGGGCCTGGTATTTATCTCTGGGCATCATTCTAGCTTTCTGGAGACTCAGCCAGACTTGAGGCTGCAGAGAGTTAAACAGTCACAGGAGGTTAAACAGAGAGTCCAGCATTTCCCAGATGCCTTTGCTGCTGAGACATTCTGCATCTCTGAGTTCCTTATAGTGGCTGAAATGATAATAATAGAGTTCAGAATATGATCCTAGTTAAAGCCTAAAATAGTCTGTTGTCATAGAGTATTTGACATATACAAATGTCAGTTTTGTTGGGAAGAAATGTTATGACTATAAGTACAGTAGTGGAATATGAAAACTGGTTTCTGATGCGTGACAGACAATAACCAAGACACTTAGGAGATGATTTTGTCCAGGCTGTCGGAACAGGGGAGTATTCATCGGTGTGAAACCTCTCAAAGGACGTGAAAACGTGGGCTTCTGTGAAACAGGGGAGTCAGGCAAGGTGGACGAGAGTCTCGTCTGAGAATATGGTCCTTCGTGGGCAGCCCTTTCTAGGAACACCTGTGGTGCTTATCCATTGCTGATTTCCGGAAGCACAGGGCTCGGGTAGAGTTTAACATTGTCCAGTGGAACAAGGTTACTGATCTTTAGTTACGTTTATAAGTCATATTGAACGTGCTCCTCTGGTTGAAAGAAGGATTGAGAGGAAACTTACCAAATGTTTTATTCATACCTTTAAATAGCAATCTCTAGGCTTCTCAATATTTATTTCTGCACCAGAGGACTAAGACAGGGCAGCGTTGTCTTGTGGGGGTGACCTGAAATTGAAATTCCTTAGAAGCTCGTAAGCAAGGGGAAGAAGTGGAGGGGGAGTATTGAAGACCAAGGCAGGTCTGTAGGCCTTGTTGCAGTGGTGAGATCTGATATCCGTGAGGAAGGGCGTTAGACGTGGGCAGGGCGTTTATAAATAAGTCGGGAAAGTCTGTGGATTTTGTTAAAGGATGAATTTTAAGGGAACAAAAATCATGACCCATATAAAATGAATGGGTATCCACAACTTTATTTGGCTCATTAATTAATGCAAGAACCAGGCAGATGTCACAACTATATTGAAGTAAAAGAACCACAGCTTGATGGGGAGTAAAGGAATGTTGAAATGTGTGTGTTTATCGATGGAGGCAAAGCTGGCTTTCCCGGCTGCTGGGAGGGTTGCCCCTCCACCAGATGGTCAGTTGCAGGTCTGTGCACAAGATTCGTTTGCATTGCTATTAGTTATAATTTACAGAGGTGTAAACTAACTCAGGCAGGGAAAGAACCTGCGCTCTTGGAGTCAGATAATCCCCAGAGGCACCAGCATCCTGTTGAAAGGATATTCAGTAATCTCTGTGCTGATGCCCAAGTAGTACATGTGTCCTTGTCCCCCTGGCTGCACAGCAACCACACCTCTGATGCTCACCTCTAGCTGATTGCGTTTTCTCTGCTTGAAGAGCCAGCTCCCCCTACCCCTCCTTTCCCTTCTCCCCCTCTCCTGGTCCCCATCCAGCCCAGGGTTCTGGGACAACCAGACGTCTACATTTGCATTCGGCTGCAGGGGTAGTTGACTCGAGGTTGGATTACTTTGGTTTAACATCCTGCGTCTTTCTTGGGATAGCATTTTTATCATTTTTATTCAGTGTTTTAAGTGATGACCAAGGTCTCTTTCTATTGTGTAATTTTAAGTCGGAAATCAATCAGCACTGACCATATAGTATTTGACCACATAGCTATCTAACTTTAGGTTTTCATCTGTATTGTGATTTGGGGGGGGGGGGGTGAGGTTAATGAATTCGAGTTAGCTCAGTGGTTTTCAACCTGGAGGGTTTGCTCCCCAAGGGAGTGCCACGGTTATCTAGTGGGTGAGAGCCAGGAATGCTGCTGAACCTACAGCGCAGAGGCCGCGCCCCCACCACAGGATGGCCCAGCCCAGTGATACAGCACAGAAGCTGAGAAACCCTGATAGCCCATTGGGAAATGTTAGCGGAGCCTGGCCGGCTTGGTTCAGCGGTTAGAGCGTTGGCCTGCGGTCCAGAGAGACCTGGGTTCGGTTCCCGCCAAGGGCACGTACCTCGGTTGCAGTTTGTCCCCGGCCCTGGTTGGGGTCGTGTGGGTGGCAGCCACTCGATGTATCCCTTTCACGTCAATGTTTCTCTTTCTCTCTCCCTCCCACTCTATCTGAACAAAATCTGGAAAAATGTCCTCGGGTGAGGATAAAAAGAAAAGAAAATGTTAGAGGAAAGCTGTGATAAAATCAAAGAGAATTCTGTGGTCTTAAATCTGTTTGGAAAACAAACATTCTGTTTTTATGGTCTTAAAATAATGTTCTTATTACCAACATTCCATTTTGGGAATCAAGCAGTCAGTGTTACTTTTAATTCAAGAGACTAAACGACCAAGTGGAAACAGATCTTTCCCTTGTGATATGATGTACGGAACGCTTATAATTTTAAATTGATTTTTCCGATTTTAGGTTTCACTGAAGAAACGCCCTAGAGATTTGCCGCATTTCTAAGACTAATATTTACCATTTGGAATTGTCAAACTTCCTAGAAGATATATTTGGCATTCAAAATGAGAGATGTCTTTGAAGTTTTAGAACAATTATATAAGAAGGTACTTCTTGGAGCCACACTTGAAAACGACAACCAGGATTATGTCTTCTGTCTCAGCCCCGCGTTTTCAGATGGAGCTGGGTCTCCCGTCACATCCTCCAAGTGCACCAGCACCCTCGGTGCCCAGGGCAAACGCCAGCCATCACCTGTCAGTTTGTCCATTTCTGTTGCTCCTGTGTGTTTGAAGAGTGATGCCCGAGACATCACCCTCCTTCAGTTAACAGTGATCAAAGTGATGCTCACCAGAGTACTGTCTGCTGAGACCGAGTTCCCTGCCAAGGAGAAATACAGAGAGATCATTCAAGTTCTTTTACTGTCATCTGACTTTGAGTCTAAATTAGTAAGTAAGCCATTTGGTTTTTATTTTTTGTTTTTTTGGTAGGTTATATATATATTTTTTTAAGATCTAGATTTTTAAAAACTCTCAACATTAGTAGATAAATTTATTTGTTTCACTGCAGATGTGTATGTTCCAAAACGCAGATAAATTGTTATCTCACATGGCTGCAAAATGCCTCGCGTCACTTCAGTATTTCCAGTTGAGAGACAAGGTAAGGACCCACACGACGTTACTGCTTCTTCTCCAGCTTCTTCAGAATTGCTCGTTGGCATCCAGTTTTACCCTTCAACTATTCGTATCAGTAGCATGTTTGCTAACATAATAGCCTGCCTCGTATCAAGGATTAGAGTCTTAAACCTGCTGTGCTCGTTACAAATCAGAGTCTTCACCCAAGGGGAGGGGCTGCAAGTCAGCAAGGCCATAACTTACATTCTCAAAGGAGTGGGTCGGCTTCCTTCTTTCCCTCCCAGAACCGGTTCAGGAACCCCTTCTGGAGACCAGGACCGTTTTCCCGGGCTTACTAAATTCTTTGAATGGTCCTCAGCATAATGAAAAATAAATAAATAAATTGAGCTTTAGACTTTGCTCTTATGTCTGTATTAGCTAATAAACAAACCGAAGCCCCTACTGACTTTCAGCTATAAATGCTTCTTTTCTGGAAAAAAGAAAAACAGAAAAATGAGAACAAGTATAAAGAACAAAATAAAACGTGCACATGTCACCACCTAGGGCTCACCACTGCTGATTGTGTTCCTGGTCCCTCTACCCTGTTTCTCTGTGGCATATAGAATTTTTTGACTGAAAGAATATTAGGCCCGGCCAGTGTGGCTCAGTGGTTGAGCATCGACCTATGCACCAAGAGGTTGCTGGTTTGATTCCTGGTCAGGGCGCATGCCCGGATTGTGGGCCCGATCCCCAGTGGGGGGCATACAGGAGGCGGCCAGTTGATGTTCTCTCTCATCGATGTTTCTCTGCCTCTTCATTTCTTTCTCTCTAAAATCAATAAAGAAAAAAAAAAAAAGATTTTTTTTTAAAGGATATTAGGATATTTGCATCCTCATTTTTTGGTTTTGTTTTGTTTTTAATCCTCACCCGAGGGTATTTTTTCTATAGACTTCTTTTTGTTAGAGAGAGTGGAAGGTAGGGTGGGGAGGGGGAAGGAGAGGGAGAGAGGTGAGGACAGAAAGAGAGAAACATCAGTGAGGGAGACACATCAATTTGTTGTCTCCTGCACGTGCCCCAGCCCAGGCTGCAGATGGAACCTGCACCCCAGCTACGTACCCTCAACCGGGAATCAGACCCACGACCCTTTGGTGCATGGGCCAATGCTCTAACCACTGAGCAACACCGACCAGGGCTGTGTCCTCATTTTAATAAATATACTTTTTAAAAATGTTGTATACACCCTGGCCAGTTTGGCTCAGCGGTTGGAGCGTCGGCCTACAGTCCAGAGAGACCCGGGATCGGTTCCCGCTAAGGGCATGTACCTCGGTTGCAGCTTGTCCCTGACCCTGGTTGGGTCGTGTGGGTGGCAACCACTCGATGTGTCCCTTTCACGTCGATGTTTCTCTCTCTCTCTCCCTCCCACCCTATCTGAACAAAATATGGAAAAATGTCCTCGGGTGAGGATTAAAAATATATAAATAAAAATAAAAATGTTGTACAGAGTTCTGTTGTGTATAATAGGTGATTTGTAATTGTAAAGAAAATACTGTATGATAACTTACCACTTTTTAAATTTTTCTCACTTGCAGATAACATTAAGTAATTCTTGGATTGCTTTTTGCCAAAAAAATCTTTCTGAATACTCTGATAAGGTAGTGTACTGCCTCTGGACCCTTACTGCTGTGATGAAAGAAATCTATAAAGACACATGTTCACAAAAAACAGGTAAAAGAATTATAGTTCCTCATAAGCAATTGGCATTATCTTGCTCCCAAGGAGAATTATATTTATATAAAATATAAAGAATAAAACTTATTTTACAACATCTGCTCTGTCTTGAAGTATAAAAAGACTAAAGGATCTCACCTATAGTTTTTGATTGAGGATGTCTTTTTAAAAGAAGAAATGTCATAAATTTTCATTGTTATTAAAAATTGAAATGCGCTCTGGTCAGTGTGGCTCAGCAGTTAGAGCATCAGCCCGCAGACCAGAGAGTCCCGGGTTCAGTTCCCACTAAGGGCATGTACCTTGGTTGCAGTTTGTCCCCGGCCCTGGTTGGGTCATGTGGGTAGCAATGATTCGATGTGTCTCTCTCACGTCGACGTTTTTCTCTCTCTCTTCCCCCCTCTCTCTCCCTCCCATTCTATCTGAAGACAAATGCAAAAAAAAAAAATGCCCTTGGATAAGAATTTAAAAAAAAAAACTGAAATGAAAGCTTTTCATTATTAGATATCCCTAGCATAGGCTGATGCTGTGGTCATTTGTAAAGTTGGTATTAACCATTATTAGCTGTTAGCCTGTGTGTTTTCATTTGTTCGCATTAGAGTTGATACAACTCCATTTTTCCATCTTGTAAAGTGATACGTTCTAAAACTTGAATTGCAAAAGTGTGTTTCAAGAAGGCTTTGTTGTTCCTGTTGTTTATAATGACTTTTTTTTTATATACAATTGCAGAGATTCTAAAGCAGTTCCTGACTCTCTTTGACACTATTTTTGAAGTCTTTTACAATTCCTTATTTTCTCAGCATTTTGAAAACCCCCAAGAAACTTATAAAATAGTCAACAGCTTGATCTGTTTTCTGGAATTGCTTGAGCTCCTTATAGCCTCCAGAATCCACCTGGACCTACACTTCACCTGCCAGAGGATTTTATTTTTGAAACCTGCCTGTGTGCTGGACGTTGTGACCTGGCCAGTGGAGGCTTTCGTGAAAAGGAGAGTCATCGTGTTCCTTAAGAAGTGCCTTCTCTGGACAGCGGGGGAAGATCTCTTTCGGGGAGCCGCCCCTGCCGTAGCACCACCCAGTCGCCATTTGGATGTGGACACGCTGGCGCTAGCGGATGCTGTTTTGCAAGCTGTGGATTTGGGCTTATTGAGGACGTTGTCTGTCCACAGAAAGCCTGCTTGCTTCGGAGGCGAAGTTCAGCCTGGACGCGAGCAGGGCCCTGGTCCGGACCACGTGACCCTTAGAGCCGCGAGCTTGCTCATCATTAAATCCTTGGAAATCAAGTTTCAGAATTGTGCTTCAGCAAAGGAAATGAAAGGTAATTCTCCTCACTCCTGTGTGCAAAGTAATGGGGTAATTACTTACTGAAGTAAAGTTATTCATAATGATCAGATCTCAGAACTTTAATTCTACTACTTTAAGCGACATGTAATCCTAGTAATAATTTATCAAATTTTCTTCCAAAAAAAAAGAAGAAACTTAGCATTACCTAAAGAAACATTAACTTTTTGTGGGCTAAACTAAATTTGCATAGCCTAGTTATTGACTAAGGTTAAATCACTGCAAAGTAAGTGATATAAGTCAGTTCATAAAATTAATATAGTTACTAATGTAGATTATTGATAATTAGGAATTGAATTGAAGCTAATATGTAAGAAGTTATATTGGAGAAATTATTGCATATAATTTCTAGGATGTTTAACTCAGAGTTTAAAGACAGCGATTTAAAGTATGATACTTGATTTAGGTGCTGGGGAAGACATATTTTTCTTTTCATTTGAGAAGAATGAAGAGTAAACATCTCTAAACAAGCAGCATATAGTTTTAATGAAAGGTTTGACTTCTAAGCAGTGACTTCCCTGAATTGCTTTGGACATGGTTTAGCTGGTAGTAACTATATACGTTAGATATCATTCTGTGCAGTTACAATTTACAACACTAGGTGGCATGTGTTACATAATTCAGAGTTCTAGATTGCAGTTAAAACTCCCCAAAACCTGTTTGATTTTTGTGCTTAATAGTAGTACTTTCTTTTAAACAAAAAAAAAAAGTGCTATTTTGAAAACAAAATTAGTTTTGTTTCCTTGCGTTGTTGCCACTAGTAACAGACTTGCATCCAGCAATGTCTGTGGTCGACTGCTCATTCATTTACATGCTTTGAGCAAGAATTCATGTAACTTTTTATTTCTCCAAGATGATTCTTTATTTGTCAGGTATGGCAAATAGACAATCTGACTGTACATTGTAACCATGTTCTAATAAGTGAGTCACTTTTTTTCTCTGAAGCTCAGTTTCTAATTTGCAGAGTGGAAATGATCCCCAACTTGCAGACATTTTGAAAGTGTGCATTATAATAATGCATTTTTAAAGTCCTTTAGGTACTGTCGTTATGTATATAGATAGGTAGGCAAGATGAGTGTATTCATAAACTTGCCTGGGCTTTGACATTTCTGTTTTTTGAAGTTCATTTACAGAGGTTCATGTCTGAGTTACTGACCTTCTTAAAGCCTCACCTTGAGCCCTCCGGGCCGTTACACAATCCGTGTGAGTGGTTGTCCAGGGTCTTCATAGAGCAGGACGATGACATGCTGGAGGCGGCCAAAGCGTCAATGGGCGTCTACCTAAAGTTGGCCAGGTTAGTATATTTTAAAGTAATTGTACTAACTACATGCCAGGAAGGCACAAAACATTCCCAATCCTGTCCTGAGCCTATTATTTAGTTTCCATCATTAGGAGGAGAAAAAAAAAATCCCTAACAATCTTGTGGTTTCCTTAGAAGTCCCAGTTCCTTTCTTTTACTCTGCCCCACGTGAAAATGAGATTCTGTCTGGGTTCTCACTAGAAGACGTGGTTGGCGAGGCAGACACGGGAGCACAGCTAGACCGGGATTCGAAAACAGGCTCCGGTTTAGTCTCATCTCTGTGCTACGTGTGTGACACGGAGTGAGTGAACGCCTTGTCTAAATCTCAGTCAGTCGGACGTTTAGAGCCTCTACCTGCAAGACTGACTTTACTACATGGAGCTTCCAGACGGTCGCGTTTCCCTTTGTAGAGGTGGAGGCAAACTTGTACGTCATCAGGGAGCTGCTGTTCTGAGTTCTCATTTTGCTCCGCCGTTGAGCTGGGGCTGATCTGATACCATCTTGTGGCAGATAGTCTGTGATTGGTCGTGAAGTTCGTAACTGATGGCCTTGGACCCCATTTCTGCTTCTGCTTTAGCAAAACCCTGAAGTAGTTGCTTAGTGTCCGTCTCTTCCTCAGCTTCCGAGAAAGGGCTGTCCCCCTGGTGCCAGTGTCACTGTCTCGGCTCCTCCGGTGGCCGCTCTGCTGGCCGTGTCGGGGGCAGTGTTTGGAAGGCTGTCCTCAGGAACACAGAGTCCCTGCATGCGAATCAGGCTCGGAAACGGTCAGACACAAATTCAGCCTGAGCGCACGTGCCTTTCAGAAGAATCGTACTTGTGCTCAAAGCCGTCTGCTTACTTCCCGGGAGAGAACACGCCTCTGACTTCAGCTGGCTCCGTGTGTGGATTTCTAGCTTCCTTAACTTAGTTCAGTGTATCCAGAGAGGCATGTGCACACCATGTGTATTTTTTTTAAAAAGATGGTTGTATTAAGATTATTGTAAATAATAGAAACCAACACAAAGTAGGCAGAAAAAAAGGAATTTATTGGCTCTTAATTGGGAATTCTAAAGGGTCACGTTGGCATCAGGCATAACTGTATATACTTGGACTCCAATCACGTCACTGATCATTTCTGTTTTCCTCTGTCTCACGTCTCTGGGTGCATCCTTAGGCAGGGCCACTAGCAGGCTACGCTTCAGTAACCTCACAGGTATAGTCGACAGTAACGCCAGCAGAGCTCCCAGGGGAGAGCTGATTGGCTGGTGGGTCACAGATTCATATCAGAGCCAATCATGGTGCCAGGAGCATGGGGTACTCTGATTGGCTGGTCGGGGTCAGATGCCCGCCCCTGATCAGGAGAGGGTGGAAGGAAAGGTAGGAGGTTAGGGTCCGGCTCCCCCTTACCCACCTTACCACATGGTATTAGTCACCATCTGTAGGAATGAAAAGTCTGATACCAAGGGACGGGAGACAGAGTACTTGTGTTGGGCAGGCGAAAACTAAAACTACCAAAGTCAGTAGATTTTGTTTATTTTATTGAGTCAGATTAATGTAGAGTTGGTGGAGAAAGAGACTGGTTTGAAATTTTTTTCTTTTAAAAATAATACGTAGATTAAAAAGTAGTCCAGTGGGTGAATTTGCTGTATGTGAATTATATCTGCCGAAGCCTATTGTAAGAAGTCATTAATCTGGGGTCTCCATTATCTTTATTTTCAGAGAATATGAAGCTGCTGAAAGCTTGACCCAAGAGACAGAAGTGTGGAACCATCACACACATGAAAATGGCTATAACCCACACTGTATTTTTTTATTCTTTTTAAAAAATGTAGGATTTGATTCTACAGTTCTTCTTGACTTCTTGATTTCCTCAGAAACCTGTTTTCTTGAATATTTTGTCAGATATTTAAAATTACTGCACAGAGACTGGGCTATGTTTTTTTCCATTTGCAGGTACTTCGATGTGACTGAGTGTAACGATAGCATAAATATTCGTGGTGGCATCACCTCGCTTGTCCAAGGCAGAAGCAGCCACCACACGGAATCTAGGCCTGTGGCTGCCGTCGCCTGGCACGGGAATGCTCACGCCTGTGTCTCCTGGGCATCTGATGCTTCTTCTGAATCACTGAATCAGGTCGTGGTGTCCCAGGAGAGCCACGCCACACCCCAGACCAGCAGCCAGCCTTCCCCCCAAGCTCCTCACGGCCTGGTAGATTATGACACCTCGGATGATTCCGAAGTAGAGTCCACAGACCCATGTTTAGCTAAGAGTAAACAGACACCTTTACACCAAGAAGCAATGAAGAAAGTTCGGAGCGCAGTTGGAACAAGTAGGCATCAAAGAGAACTTAGCCTGGAGCTTCAGCCAAGGCCTGTGGGTCCCAAAGACTCGAGTACTCCTTCCTCTGTTGATCGTGAGATGACCCCAAATAGCATTGTCTGTGAAGTGGGAACATCTCACAGGACAATGAAATGCTTCGAAGAGCTACAAGGTGCCATTTCTCGTTTGCAGAACAAAAATCTTTTCCCGTATAACCCAACCGCACTTTTGAAGTTGTTAAAACAGACTGAGATAATATGTAATAAAAGTATGAACCCTTTGTGAAACGGTGGCGTTTTATTTCCAGGAACTGTTTTTGCCTTAATGAGATAATAGTAAAAAAGAAAACCTTAGATGGGTTTTCTGAGTTAAGTCTTTCCTTTTTGCCTTTTGGAAGCAGCCTAGTGACTTAAAAAGATGTATCAAACGACCAATCACGTGCTACAGTTTAACACCACTTGAAATGGTTATTGTATTAGTTCGCAAGGGTTACTGTAACAAGTTACCCCAAACTTGGAGGCTTTAACCAACAGAAATTGATTCTTTCTCTCTGGTAGGTCTGGAGGCTAGAAGGCCAAAATCAGGGTATATTCATAGTCATGCTTTAGTGCTAGACTAGAGGGAAGGATCCTCCCCACCTCTTTCTAGCTCCTGGCGACTGCTGGCAGCCCGGGTGTTCCCCACCGGTAGCGGCATGTGTCCGAGTCTCTTCCTCCGCTGTCGCGTGATGTTTGTTCTCCCTGAGTGCATCTGCAGGGGGGTCTCCTCTTATAAGGACACCAGTCACTGGGTTAGGGCCCCCTCTCATCCAGTATGGCTGCATCTGAGCTTGATTATATGTCCACAAGGGACTATTTCCAAACAAGGCCACTTTTACAGGTTCTGGGTGGACATGAATTTGGGGGACACTAACCTAGTACAGTTATTCTAGTACAGTTATCTCTTCCAGAGAGTGATATGTTAAAATTTTTAAATCTTTGCAGTTTTTTAAAGATGTAATTAGCTCTATGTATGTATGTATGTGTGTGTGTGTGTGTGTGTGTGTATATATATATATATATGAGAGAGTCTATGAACAGGGATCATTCTTTTTTAAAAAAAATTAATCCCTAGATAATTTTTCTATTTAAAAGTCTGAAGTGTTGTTCTTAAATGATCCTTTTGTAGAGAAATATAAGGAAGACAACCTACTAGACATCAAAGACTGGTAATCAAAACAGGTCAGTACTTATTTGGGTAGAAATGGAAACATCTGGAACAAAATAGAGGATTGCTAATGAAAGTAGCAATGATACGCTCCTGTTAACCAACTAGAAATGCAGATGTCAAGAAGATAACAGTTGGGGAATATATTGGGGTCATTTCTGCATAAATTGAAAAGAATGTAGTATATTCAAGTACAATCAGTGCCACATTGCAGAAACAAAGGAGTAGAAATATCTGGTTAAATACGTGGAATACTATATACTTATGTAAAAGAAGACCTGTATCCATGTTTACAGATATGAACCATGTGAAACATGAATATACTGGGCTTCCACTTATTTAAGACAAAGTGGGGCAGAAGTAACACAGAGACTTAGCTATGCTTTTGTGTGTTTATATAATATCTAAGAATACATCAGCATTGTAATAGAGGTTGCTTTGGGAAGCATGAAGCAGAAGATTGGATTGCTCATCTTTTTAAATCTCCTATTTATTTGATTTTAACTGCATGTATGCTTTTTTTTTTTTTTTTTTTTTTAGTGAAAATAACGTTTTAAGAAAAAAAATACCAACCAACCTGGTTCTTTGTTTCCAAGGGTACATAAATGCTGAGTGCATTAAAAGTCGGGCTTGCCCAGATGTGTTTTTGACACGTGTTTATAAGGTTAATAAGGAACCATCAGCCCCTTGTTATACCTAAAACGAGAACAAAGCAGCCTTATAAAGATGCTAAGTGTTGGTGTTTCAGAGTTTCCACACATATAACCTACCCTTGGGTGTAAAGCAATTCATCACACGCTCATGGAGCCCCACTATTGGTGAAGGTGACCGGCCCTGGCTGTGAGGTGCATACCTTGGCCATTCAGAGTCCCCAAGGGCTGTTCTGAGTTAGTCCCTGAAGGAACACAAAACCAGGGATATGTGCCCAGTTTGTAACTCCACCTCTTCTCCAAGTTCAAACATATGTGTATCCAAATGAGCACCAAGTATAACAAGGCTGCTTCATTGTTTTGAAATATAGCAGATGCAGCAAAGTACACAAGGAAGTATACGATTTCCAACTTGCTGGATTTTCACAGACAACCTACCTGGGGAACCAGGACCAGGTCAAGAAACATGACTGGCACCCCAGAACTCCGCCTTGGATCTTTTAGGCTACCGTCTGCCCATAAAGGCAACTCTTCTGAATCGAGACAATGTAGATTGCCCTGGCCGGTTTGGCTCAGCGGTTAGAGCATCGGCCTGTGGTCCAGAGAGACCCGGGTTCGGTTCCCGCTAAGGGCATGTACCTTGGTTGCAGTTTGTCCCTGGCTCTGGATGGGTCGTGCAGGTGGCAGCCACTCGATGTGTCCCTTTCACGTCGATGTTTCTCTTTCTCTTCCTCTCTCTCCCTCCCACTCTATCTGAACAAAAAAATGGAAAAAATGTCCTCGGGTGAGGATAAAAAAATAAAGACAACATAGGTAAATATTGCCTGGTTTTTTCTTATATATCAATGGGACCCTAAAAATAAATACATAATCAATGGAATCCTAGAGTATGTGTTCTTTTGTGTCTGGCTTCTTCAAAATTATCATCTAATGTATTTTTTAGCTAATTGTCAAGTAGCTGCATTTCAGCTATTAAACTCAGAATTATCCTCGGCACTCTCCATGGGGTGGGATGTTGAAATCAACATGCACAGCTTGACACAAACTACAGACTCAAACAGGTTAGGCAGGACCTTGTGCAATTGGCCGCAACCTGCTTCTCTAGCCTGTGGCTGTCCCCCACCCACGTCTCAGCAGCACCACCTTGGGTTTCTCACATATTCATTGAGTCCTGTCGTCCGTGTGGGATCTGTGAAGCCTTCCCCGTCTATTTGGAGCCATTAATTCTTACTGTGCTCTTTCCCGCGTCGTAGCCCTTGTCACTTTATATTTCAATCATCAGTCAACAGTCTCCGTTTGCCAACCTCTTTTTACATTGTCCCTGAACAGCACCCTGGCTGTCCCATTGTATAAGCACATGAAAGATGCTGAGTGAATTAGGAGAGTTCCCTCTCCAAGGATTGGATAAGCCACTGGGGCAGACAGGTGTGCAGACCTAAACATCTTTTGCTCTCACATTGCACATCCTTTGTTCCCAATAATATTGCAGGGCAGTACTATTGTGACTCCTCGTTTACAGATGAGGACATTAAGCAGCTTGCCCAACAGCACCCACCCGCTGAAGAGGCAGAGACCAGGAAATGGATCCAGGTAGTCAGGGCCCAGCCGCCTCTCCATACTGGATGGTCCTCAAGACAGAGGATGATGTACTTTTTTTTTTATCCTCACCCGAGGACATTTTTCCATTTTTTGTTCAGATAGAGCGGGAGGGAGAGAGAGGAAGAGAGAGAGAGAGAAACATCGATGTGAAGGGACACATCGAGTGGCTGCCACCCGCACAACCCAACCAGGGCCAGGGACAAACTGCCACCGAGGTACGTGCCCTTAGCGGGAACCGAACCCGGATCTCTCTGTACCGCAGGCCGACGCTCCAACCACTGAGCCAAACCGACCAGGGCGATGATGCACTATTAAAACTAAAATTATTGCAGCTTTTGATCTGTGTGGTGGGTGGCGTGATGAGACGCCATGCTAGAAAGGTATGTTGGGGTCCGATCACCCAAGACCTTGGGGGTTGTGCTAAGGAGTTTGGACTAGTCCGTAGGCGGTGGAGAGCCATGAGGTTTAGTAATAAAAGACCAGTTTTGTGTTGAAGTGACGTCAGTAGCAGAACTGGGCGGGGCAACAGTAGGTCTACAGTTGTGAGTACGTGAAACACAGTTTATTCTCGTATTGTTATGAACGTATTATTTTCCACATGAACAACAGTAAACCTACTTTTGCCCACCCCGGACAGTGGCGAGGCAGACAAGTAGATTCTAATGAGTCCCACGCAAGTCACTAGAGTCAGGACTGGGGATGGAGGACAGAAGCAAGGCCTGGCTGAACACCTGCTCAGCCCCTCCCCCTCCAGGGACCCACGGAGGTGAGCGAAGGGGCCACGACCAAGAGCAACGAGACACAGGGACTGACTGAGCACAACAAAACATCCCTTAGCGGGCTTTGGCCTGGGGGCCACCAGACACAGGTGAGGATAGGCATAACATGCTAAGTATGGGATCAATTAGACTCCTAACACATGAATGTGGGATTAATCTGACTCCTAACACACTGAATGTGGAAAACCACCACTATCTCTAGTCTTCTCCCAGAAAACTAGAAGAGACTTCTAGGGACTCTGACCAAACCAAGAGAAAAGATCTAAAGATACATTGGAGTTTCCCCAAAGAAAGCAGCCAAGCCCCGCTGGTGTGGCTCAGTGGTTGAGCGTCGACCCTGCACCAAGAGGTCGCCAGTTCGATTCCCAGTCAGGGCACATGCCCAAGTTGTGGGCCAGATGCAGGAGGCGGCCAATCAATGTTCTCTCTCATCAATGTTTCTCTCTCTCCCTCTCCCTTCCTCCCACTCTCTCTAAAATCAATTAAAAAAATTTTTTTTTAAAAAGCCAAATCTCCATACTAGGACACTCAGAGTGGCCAGCCTTACTCATGGGCACAGGGCGTCTAATTGACATTTACATGCCCAACTCTTACACAGGAGTGAGTAGCCAGGGATGATCGGGCATTCGGGGTTAGTCACTAACGGGAAAAAGGCAAAACAAATGAGAGATGAAGCAAGGAGGATGTTACTGTCCTAATCCACTCGGAGATAATTGGTTATACAGGACACATAAAAGAACACTTGGCCGGGGACCTCCTAAATGGATAATATGAAAACAGAAACTAAAAACCCAAGAAATGTAGTGAAATTAAGTTGAGGGAATCTAGAAAGTGTAGCAAGGGTACAAAGAAATTGGGAAATTAGAGAGAGAGGTGTTAAGAATACTTGGGGAGCAGTCCACAGGTTCAGTAACTGGATAATAGAAGTTCCACAGAGAGAGAAAGGAAGAAATGGAGAGGAGAAAGTACTAAAGAAATTTAAGAAAGTTTTCATATTAACAGAGGGGGAAAAAAAAACATTTTTAAAAAGAGGGAGAGGGTCAACCTTGAG